TGTCCCTTTAATACCTTGGATTATATTTTATCTCATAAATATTGTTACACCTGGTTTCTTTTTATCGGCAAATACATGATACCTCTCTCATCTCCCCATTTGTGTTCGTTCCTCCTGCATCATTTTGTTTTAGTTACGTCTGTGCAGCTAATTTACAGCTGGCTTTTGTGCCGGCTTCTGCTACTCTGCCAGTCACCTCAGGTTAGCTTCTGCTCCCCGCACCAAGTGGCCTTTCTGCACCTGCTACTCCTTCCAGCCCAGCTCCCAGCTCCCAAGGAGACATCCTGACTTCCCCTGCTGGGCCCTGTGTTTTCTCCCATTGCCTCTCTTCCTGGCTCCTCAGAGCCCTGCAATTAATTACCTGTGGGGCACTGGAGAAACTGAGGCACACAAGACCCCATGACCCTTGTCTCCCCGGTGGCCTCCATCCAAAGAGGGGGGAAGACAGTTAATGCTGAAATGCATTCACAGGTGAGACTAAAACTGCAAATGGTGTTGTGTTCTATGAAGGAAGAAAGCGGGGCATCGCCAGGGAGACACTGGAGGTGGGGAGAGCCTGTGTTAATTTAGGGTGAAACAGGCAAGTTTCCTGTAGAGGTGACTTTTCACCTGACACCTGAAGGATGAGAAGGAGGTGGCTCCATGGACTGGGGACAACAGTCTCCCCTGTGACTGTGCAGTGGCTTCTCAAGGCTATATGCTCCCCTTCCCCACAGGTGTGCAGCTGGCTCTGTGAGGGAGGCAGACAAGGGCCAGACTTGCCCCTGAATCCTGTGCAAGAGGCAGTGGGGTTCTATACCAAGCACCGAGGAGCCCCTTCCCTCTGGGCCCTTTGCGGGGAATCCTGTTGGGCCTGGTAGGGGTGTTAAATTTGGGCAGGAGCAGCAACAGCAGCCAAAAGTTCACCCTAAGCGCAGTAAAGGCCTGGACATACAATTTGCACGGGGTCAGCAAACACCAAGCGCCCTGAACCCTGCAGACTCAGAACCCCAGGGTTTCTCTTCTGCAGGCTAAACATGCTTGTTTCTACCAATTTAGATTTTCCCAAATCATCCCCGGGCCCACTCGGCCATGTTAATGGTGCAACCCCGGGCCCAGGCGGCTGGGTCCCTGGCTCTCCTCTGCCATGTGGCTTGTCTTAGTCACTTAATCATTCCGCTACTGGGGTTCCCTGATGCTAAAATGGAACTGTAATAAGGACCCCCTCTTTCTTGCTGTGGGGGTCAGATGGCTACTGGGGATAGCTTCGTTACTGTGAAGGGCTGTGCATATGCCATACCCCACCCCAGAGCCCTCTGCTCCAGCAGCTGTGGATGAGCCTGTCCACTGTGACCTGCTTAGTCTCCTGGAAGGCAGACACTTTGGGTTCCCTGGACACAGCTCCGCTCGCTCATCCCGTTCTCTCCCCGGTGTCAATCAACTCTTTGAGGACCCTTTTCGATTTCTGGAGACTAAAACTAGGGACAGCTCTTAGAAGCTTCCTGCTTCCTAAGACATGAGCAAAAAGAGGCCCAGCTGCCTTCCAGAAGGATCTTTCAAAACAGACAATGCCAGGAACTTAAATCCCTGTGGTTACCCACTGAAAAGGTAGGGGAGCCTCTGATCAGGGGTCCAGTCTTCCCTGTCTGCCATGGGCCAGCCACCTGGGGGACCAGCAACTTCTCATTGGAGAGGCTATGCACGTAGGGAGTGGCAGGAGATGGGCAGCGCTTATAGCGCGTTATCTGGGCCTGGGCCAATAATGAGGGCTGGAGCCAAAGGGCTGGGTAAGCTCATGCCACCGCTTAGCAGGTTGGCTGTGAGCTGCAGGAGCTCCTGGGGAGGAGGGGAGCTAGGATGAGAGCCCTCCCCAGGCCCCGAGGGACCAGGAGGAGCAGAGGCCTTTGGACCAGGTAGACTACCCAGTATAGGTGGACGGCCTCGAAGGCCAGGGTCAGGGAATCACATGGTAGCCCACCCAGGACTGGGCAGGAGCCTGCCACTGGCTCAAGTTCCTTGCAGCAGGACTTGGCTTGAGGGATAGCCTGCTGGGACCAGGGTGTGGCTGGGGTCTCTGCATGGCTTAGGCTTTAGGATCAAGCCTATAATAAGGAAACCGAGGAGACATCCAAGATTGACAAGGTGAGGCATCAGCCTGGCTGCTGGGTCCCATCAGCGCTTATGTGGCCGCAGGCTTGGCAGCCCTGATTACCTTGGGGCTGCTCCCTATACCCTTCCAGGCCTGAGCATCACTGGGGCTTCCAAGGGCTGAATGGCAGAGCAGGGTTGTCACTTGCCCGGAGGCCTGTGGGGTCCTGTCTTCCTCTCCTCATCTGCACCGTGACTTCCACTTTGGGGCATCTCTACAGGGGCTAGGCCTTCGGGGATTAGGGTGGTCTAGAAGATTCAACTTACCCCCAAAATAATCATGACTAAAATAATAATTATAAAAATAATTATGCTTGAGTTGAAATTGACATATCTAATGCATATTTAGAAAGCATTGTTTTTGATGAACTTATAACATATAATTAAAAACTGTGCTTGCTTGGCAGAAGCAGCTATAAGGTATGGCACAGCCAGATCTGGCCCGATGGCAGCCCCCTTGCCCTCCCACAGGGAATGTCACGAACATTCACTGACCTGTGTGTGATTCCTTGAGTTAGGGGGCCAGGAGGGCAGCAGTCCAGGTGGCCTGGGGACAGGGCCCTGTGTGCCCTGTCTCCAGGTGTGCCCGTCACTCCACAACCCAGTGTTAACCCGACAATCACCCACCTGTCCCATGACCCCATCTCCTAATTCCTCAGAGAAACTGGCTATTCTAGATTTTGTTTAACAGGAAATTTCCCAATTTTAAAATACTGTCAACCAAGTGAGGTTTTTTTAAAACCCCACATGGCCCTAACAAGTGCCTTTTTTGGCTGGTTTTGCCCAGGGACCACCCGTCAGTGACCCCTGGCTCCACCGGGGCAGAGGATAACATCCAGCTTCTTCCCCAGGGAAGAGTTTTATGGAAATTACTATTTTTGTGCTTCCCAAGGTGGTTCTGAAGGTGAGCTGTCCCTGCTTGTTGGAAATGCAAAGAAATAAATGTGTAAAAATAGAGTAGCAATTCCTCAAAGCCCCGTCAGATTTAAGTAGCCGGTCTGTCCTCTGGGAGCAACAAGGATGTTCCTGAATCATCTCCAGGAAGCCCAGCGGGGCATCAGCTCTGCATGGGGATGCCGCATGCCCGCCTCCCTGGAGCTGCCCTGGGCAGCATCCTCTGCGAGCATATGCATGTGCATATACCCAGTGCACAGGGGACTGCAGGGCAGTGGGGGATGGGGGCACACAAGAACCCCAGGACATACAAGAAAGCAAGCAGCAGCTCAGCTCTGACCTGACTGACTCCTCTGTGTTGCTCCCTACTCTGCTTCTCTTGCACCCCACTTTTTCTAGAGCACCAGGGAATAACAAGCACTCCACGTTTTCTGCTTGGTCTCTGTGCCGTGGCCTGGTTATAGGTTTGCTCCTCAAAGCTAACAGACAGCAGATGTAAAGGAGAGAGCTCCTGGCTGAGAGTCAGCCATGCTGGGGGTTCCATCAGTCCTCCTGTCTATAAAATGGGGGTAATAGTGCACACCAAAAAGGCCCATTGTCAGTACTGCGTGAAGTGACGTCTGTGTAGGGCAAGTGGTGGAGCAGGATCCAGTGGCAGGGCCATGCTGCTTTCAGAACCCCCATCATGTGGCACTAAGACGTGCAGGGAGTCCCTGTCCCTGCATGGAGGAGGCAGAAGATGAGGCTTTGGGCCAAGTGAGAAGACTTTCCTGGAAGAAATGAGAGAGATGGTCTTTGGGGTATTGACAGCTGAGCTGGGCTCTCAGCCCCACCTTCACCTGCAGGGGCCATAGCACCTGGACAGCACCCCCTGGGTTGCTGATGTCATGATGACCTGAGGTCCAAGGTCCCTCCAAGGGCAGGAGTCTCTGAACCACCCNCTGATGTCATGATGACCTGAGGTCCAAGGTCCCTCCAAGGGCAGGAGTCTCTGAACAACCCCCCCTCACACTCAGGGAATGCTAAGGAGAAGCAGGCCCTTGGGGTCAGGGACCAGTCCAGGGCGGGATCTGAGCCCAGTGGGAAAGGAGAAAGAAGGGAATTGAGATGGCAGCTACAGCTGTCCAGATGGTGAGACAACATCCTGGGGCCCTGGGCCTGATGGAGCTCCAGGGCTCTGGACCTCTCATCAGAGGCCCCTTAGGCCCTACTGCCCCACCCAGGGCCAGGTGTCAAATGTGTGGGGGCTGGAGGTGAGACCCTGGCCAGGAAGACCATGAGGGAGCTGTAATGAGAAGGTCTTGTCCTGGTTCTTTGCACAGTGCAGTCAGGCCACCACCCACCCATCTCCTCAGCTTGGGACTAGGGGCATGCACAGTTCACCTGGCGAAGGGCGCTGATGGGAGGTCTTGACCGTGGAGTGGGGATGGGTGGACCTGGCCCAGAGATGAGGGGCCTTGCTTCAGTGGAGGACTGAGCAGGATGTTCTGAAAGGCAGCTGCCCGAGGAGACACTGTGGGACATACACCACCTGGGCTGGGCCTCGGTTTCTCCAGTTATAACAGGGGTGGCCACACTTGGACACCAGCTCTTTGGCACGTGGGCAGCCCTTCTCAAGTGTTGTGTGATTGAGTGAATCTGGCTCTGCCCACACCCACTTCTGGCTGGCAGCCCAGCTTCCCGGCCTCTCCGTTTGTCACCGGGTGGCAGACCAGGGCTCTGTGATGGCCAAGGAGTTGGTTTGTATACTGTCGGGTCTGAGCTGACTTGGCACGTCATTACTGCCCTCTCTGCAGCTCAGATTGTGATTTCGTAAAGTGGGACAAGAATGTCGTGTTTGCTGGAAAGTTTCAACAACATGATGGCCAGACCGGTGCCTGGCAGGTGCCTAGTTGTATCTGTGTGGGGTTTTGTCCTGCTGCTGCTGTGTCCCTGGTGAAGCCGGGTTGCTGCTGACACTATGTCCTCTGTCTTTCCAGGGGCCTCCCTGGGCAGCCTGGACAGCCTCAGCCGTACCCTGGGCATCCTGGAGGAACGGGTCAACAGCTCGAGGCGCAGGGCACGCAGACATGCTGCTGATGACGACTACAACATCGAGGTTCTGCTGGGCGTGGATGACTCCGTGGTCCAGTTCCACGGAAAGGAACACGTGCAGAAGTACCTGCTCACGCTCATGAACATTGTAAGTGTGGGGGGGGGGCGCGCGGGGGGGCCAGGGCACCTGTGCTTTCTGTGTTTCCTGGTGGACCTAGGGGCGAGTGATGTGGCTGCAGGGAAACTCTCTGGATCCACAGGTGAGAAGAGGTGACCTTCCCGTCAACCACACTGAGCCTCTGTTTTCTCACCTGTAGATGGGGGTTTTTCTGACTTGGCAAGGGTGTTTACACACTGAGGCAATCTTCCCCCAAACTCCAGCCATTTGTGTCTCAGTTTGCTTGATTTTTGCCATACGGCACTGTACCTGGGCTGTGTATTTTCCTATCAATGAACTGACTTTTTAAAACGTAAAATTATTTACAAAGATACCTCTCTTTACATAAAAGTAACCTAAAAGTAAAACGTAAAGTGATTTTAAAAAGGGATATATATCGTGTGTGTTCCACAGGGACTGTCCAGGCTTCTCCTGAAGTAGTCAAAGGAACTGAAGCTTGGAGAGGGGATTCATTTCTCCCTGTGAAGCTGTGCTATTTAATGGGGTGTTTGTGTGCCACCTAAGCCTTCTAGGGTATGAAGAGGCACTTACTCCTTGTCTACCCAATGCAGAGAGATCAAGGGGCCACCCAACAGGAGAGATTAAGGAGTACCCCCACATTCCAGTCCCCACACCCTACCCCAGAAGGCATGGGGATGCTGCTTGATTGGCCGGTAGAGGGCACAGTCCTGCCTCTTCCCTGTGTGACGAGGAGAGCCTTCCCCTCCTTGCCGGATGCTTGGGGTCACCCAGAGGATGTGGGGCATCCAGTCTCCAAAGTGCAAGCTCTGGGGGCAGCGCTAAGCTCAGCTGAGCCCAGCTGGGAGAGCTAGGGTGGGAGAGAGGAGCAGGGTCTTTCCTGTGTGTAGGACCTTGGTGGGAAGGACAGATTTGTGGAAGGATGCAGGAGCTTGCAGGGGGCTAGACGTGAGCAGGGAAGCCCAAAGCTGGGGAATTGGAAAACAGCAAGGCTGGGTGCCTGTTTTATGAGCCTTGATTTTCTCATCTTTAAAATGGATCAATAATTTCCATCTCAGGGGTTGCTGTGAAGATTAAATGAGATAATGGAGGTGAATGGGCCTTTCAGTTATTAAATAAAATATGGTTTTGCTATCATGATGGTGACAATACTTAATTCAGTGACAGCACATCTAGAATTATCCTTGAGAAGTACGCCAAGGACTTTGAAGTTGGGAGTATCCCTGGTGAATTCTTCCTGAGGCTGGTGAAACAAATCTGCCTTTTCCGTGGTATAGAGGGTCCCTCTGTCACACACACACCTCCTGCTGCATGAGCTTGATTTTACCAATTAACTTCAGTTTATTCATTTACACCCTCGTGGCCCAGCTGTACCTCAATTTTGGATAATGGGATGGTTTGGTTCATTTCTTGAAAAGCATTAGAAATATAAAAAGTATTAAATTGAAACAAATTTTATCAAAAATACACACATATGGATTTTAGGATATAAATCTGGAGGTAAGAAAGAGTAGTTGGGCTGTGTCTTTTCCCCTGTCTCAAGTGTTCACTGGACACATGTTTATCCCAGCACAGTGGTTGGTCCTACAGAAGCGAAGGCTAGGAGGATAGTCTTGGGCTCAGGGCACAGGGAGGTGTGCTGAGAAGTGACACTGGAGCTGAGACTTGAATGATCATGGAGATCATTCAAGGCCCTGAGGCAGAACGAGGTTGGCATATTTTCAGAAGTGCAAAAGTGGGGAGCAAGGGCCCACGTAGGAGAGGAAGTTGGAGGCAAGCCAGGAGGCACTTGGATGTGACCCTAAGGGCAGTGGGAAATAGAAGTGCTGCTTACTTCCTGCATTAATGAGCAAGACATTTTATTTCTTTTTTCATAGGAAAATGGGAATTAACCCATTCCTTTCTGTCTTAGACTTTCTGGAAGATGAGAAGGGTTGGAAGGGTTAAAAATGTTTGCTGAGTACTTCACCTGGGCACAGAAAGGGTCTCACAGTGTTCAGAGTAATACACACACACACACACACACACACACACACACCGCTAAATCNTTGCTGAGTACTTCACCTGGGCACAGAAAGGGTCTCACAGTGTTCAGAGTAATACACACACACACACACACACACACCGCTAAATTATTCAAGCGCTTCCTGCCAGGTCCACTTTCCTTCTTTGTCTCCTTAAATCTAGAAAAGTGACATTCTTTGTTTATTAAAATATACTATATTTAACACAGACGATATGTTATTTACAGTGGAAAGTTAGAATATATTCACACAGGTGTGTGGATGTTTTCTGCCACATATTGCCCACTGCCTTGCTTTAATGGTGGCATGTTATTGCATCACGTGACGGCAGCACGCTTTTATGTAACTGATTATTTATGACATATTTTTTTCCCATTAGAGGTCAGATCGGCCACTGACTGCAATGAGCATCCTTACAATTGAATCAATCACTCATCCTTTACTTTTTCCTTAAGCTGAATTTCTAAAAGTTCAATCCCTGGTCAACAGTGTGTGTGCATTTCAAAGCTTTCAGTGCCAGAATGTTCTCTGTTATTTCGCCTATTCATGCTCGTTGGATCCAAAGCCTAGCTCCGAGCACTGAATCCTTCTTAGCTGTGGTACATTGAGAGCCACAACCAGGCTAGAGTGGAGGAACACAGTGCTCTGTGCCCTGCCCAGAGGGCCTGAGGACGGTGAACCTGGCATCTCCCCTTTCCACAGGCCCAGTGCCTCAACCCAGGGCAGATGGCCAAGAGTCTTTACACCTCAGCACCTGGATTGGGGTGCATGAGAGGATGACCTCCTCTGAGACTTGTGTGGGGCTGCCTGCCCAGGGTGGGATGGCCACAGCCATGCCCCAGCTTGAGATGCCATGTGGCATATGCACCCACCCTGATCCTTTGGGCATCTGCACCTAAGCCCCTGCCAGGAGCAGAGGTCAGCAGTGGTTACAGGGTAGGGAGTGGTTGGCCAAGAACCTGACCTAAGAGGGGAGACCACGTTTGAGCCAAGGCTTCCCTGTCCCATCCAACTTCACTTACTTAACACAAATTCCAAGGTGAAATAATTTCAAGACTGGCAGCTGCCGAGCATTAAGCCCCAAGGGTGGAGCCCTTCTGAGCACAGGCTGGCCACTTACCCATAAACCTAGGTCTATCAGTCCTACAGTGGACCCTGCCACCAGCCCCAGCACCCCATTCCCTGCACTGCCTTCTTTGGGACCCATTCTCCATGGCTCTTTCCCATCCCTGCCCATCCAGAAACTCAGCTCAAAGCTGCCCCCACCCTTGGCTTCTGCCCAGATGAAGAAAGTTGTGCCTGAGAGTGCGCTGGGCCTCAGCCTCACTCCCTGGTGCCCTTGTACTAATTTTTTGATCTTACATGCTGTAAACAAGGTCGCTGGCGAACCCAGGCTGAGGCCTGGTCCCCTTGGCCCAGAGGCTCTTAGCCTGTTCAAAGAGGCTAGGACCCCGGGGAAGGCCGCCAGAGAGCCTCAACCACCTGTTTGATGTGTAGCTCATCCAGCCCTGCTGGCTCCTCCAGGCCTTCATACCCGTGCCAGGCTTCTCTTGGGCTCCCTGCTCCCCACATGGCTCTGCACACCCGGCCTCCTTCTGCTATCATCCTGCTCCTGCTCCTCCCAGCCTTCCACAGGCTCATCTGGCCTCCACCAGGCCCAGCCCTGAGGAACAGGAGCTCCCCTCTGCCTGGCTCCCTTGTGTACTAGGAGCCACTGTCCTGTTTGACCTCTGCTCCTTGGAAACATGCTCCTTGCTGTGTCTGGTCTTCCTAGGCTGGGTCGCAGCCAACACTCCTGAACACACCTGCTGCTGACTGGTGCTTAGGGAACGAACATGTTTTCAGACTTGCTCTGCCAGCACCTGAGCTGGTCTCTGCTTATAAGCTCAGGGCTGTGGCAGCGTGCTCCTGACCTCCTGAGAGGCTTTGCTGGGATACAATTCCTGTGCTCGTCGCAAGTCCGGTTACCTTGGATGACCAGGCACAGACAGTGGCTCCTCTCCCCCAGCTCAGGTGCATGGAAAGCCAGGGATAAGTGCTCTGGGGGAAGACCTGAGCAATTATTAAAGTAACTTGTTTGCATATATATTCTTAAAAGTAAAATCTATTTGTGCCAAGACTTCAAGAAATATAAACTTTGGGCCCAAGATCAGTGCTTCATATGTGGCTTTATAGCATTTAACTGAAGCACTAATTTCAGTCCCACTCTTCCATGAGAAACCAAAGGCCTGGGTGTGTTGCTTGGGATCTCACTGTCCACCGAGACCCCGAGCTGCCAGGATGAGCTGCTGGCAAGTTATGCTCCTTGTAGATGGAAGGCGGACCACTGTGGTGGATGCAGCCACTCCTGAAGGTGGCCTGTGACTCTCCTTTGCTCCTTGGACCTCATACTCTCAGGAGGCTGCTGGAGGCCACTGAAGTCACAGAACAGACTTAAGGTGTCTTCCCCGAAGGGGCACTTCTTTTGGACAGCAAGCATTTTAACACATCAATGTTATATTAAAGTAAGCTTGGACAAATCACTGAGTCAAAGCAAAATTCATGTGAATTTTTCAAGACACACTGGAGATTTTAAAACAGGGTTGCCAAAACTGCTGCCCAAGGGCCAAACCTGGCCCATCACCTGCTTTCATAAATAAATTTTTACTGGAATGCAGCCACGCCCACTCATTCATGAACTGCCTTAGCTGCTTTTGTGCTGTGGTGATGGAGTAGAATGACTGGGACAGGAACAGTGTGGCCAGTGAAGCTAAAAGTAGTCACTACGTGGTGCTACAGAAATATTTGCTATCAGGCTCTGAAGAAAACTCCTACTTGCTTAATGTCCACCTTGAGCTATGGCCCCAGCCCTTCAGAGTTTGCATTTTTGTCTCATTGCATCAGTACCCTTGGGTGTGTATGTTAAGGGAGCACTGGGCATAGCATGAGGACCAGCTTTGAAGTTGGAAGCAGTTGCATTCTAAACCTGGCTGTTACCCACCTGGCAAA